TGCCACTAGCTTAGATATTGTGATGGAATGGACTTATGAAGGCCAGGCTCAGGGAGATAAGCGTGTTCTTAGCCCCCAACAGGAGCGTGGGAAGTTCAAGAAGATGAGGCTGGCACCTCCCTAAGGAATTCACAGTGTTGTGGCTGGCTGGCTTGGGAACTGGGGTTCGGTCTGGGAAGTTTTCTGTCTTGATGTTGAAGCTAATAAACACAACAGAACTGTATTTGCATTGTCTCTTGGAGTTCTTTGGGCTGAACCTGACAGATATAGAACTTTTGATCTATATCAAAAGATAAGCAACTGTTGTCATAAACAGGACTAAATGTCTATCTCTACATTTCTGAACCTAAACATTCAATCTCCCTTCCAAGTCACATCCACTCCCTCCAGGCCACATTGCCTCCCTATTGGAGTTCCAGGTTATTGATATAAGCCTGTTCTGTTCCCTAACTACAAAGCTGAGGGTGGAAAAAATTGCAGAAAGCTTGATGCAAATGGTATTTTTTTCTTCTGATAAATAGACAGCTAAGCTAAGAGTTAGAGTTTACTTTCCTTTGCTCTTTTTTTTTCCCTGGACAATCCCACCCTTGCTTCTGACTATTCCTGCTACTAAAATGGGGGAGCCAGGTTTTGATGAGCACATTGAACATCAGAAACAGATTCTTCACCCCATTATAAACCAAAAGACCTACATACAGTATATGGATGCATGCAGCCCAAACTCACTACTTAAAAGGTAACTATTTGGCTTTTGATGTTAACATATTTATAATGATTTTAAGGTCAAAAACAAACAGAGAGGAAAGAAAGCAATGCATACTTTTCACAGATATAAACCTTAACATATCCAAGAGCAGTTTTTCAAATTTCCTGAAAAATCAATCCCATGCTCCTAGCATTCATCCTCCTCTCTAGCCATTGTAGTCAATCCAATTAGCAGCTAAGAGTGGGGCGGGGGGGGGGTTCTACAGGGATAGGAAATTGGTGGCTCTCCAGATGTTGGTGAATGAGTGTTTACCAGCCATAGCTAGTATGGCAATGGAGTTGTAATTCAGCAACGCAGGGAAATTCCTCATTCTTGGGTTACCATTTGTTCTTCTAGTGCTGCTGACTGACTGGCCAGTCTGACTAAACTTGTTGCTCTCCAATATCTTGAATTAAATTCATACTGACCAAAGAGAGGAACATGGAATGTAAGGTTCTACATATACAGTTGCAAGTGAAAAATGAGAAGGAGATACAATATCAACAACACAGGCACACTGACTTTGTGCATGCACACTTGGCCACCAAGGTCAGTGACAACACCTATACCATAACCCAGCAGGCCCTCACATAATTTTTGTTATGTAATTAAATTTCATACATTTTGAATATTTTAAAAAATGTATTTGTGGGGAGGGTGCTAAGTGGAATTTGCACAATGACACCTTGTATGCCAGAAGCAGCCCTGCCCACATACCGTATTACATTTTCTGAAGACAGTACAGTAGTCTTGGGTCAGCAGCGTAACAACTTCTGTGAACTGGCTTTAACTATTAAGCATGACAGTAATCTCTGGATTCTGTATTTAAAACTGTATTATTCTAAAGTATGAAGCGAATCAGTGTTGTTGAGACAACTGAAATCTGGATCTTCCATCTTCCGTACATTTTCCTGGCAGGCAGCCCCGTTGGTTCCAGGAGGTCAGTTCCAAGAAATACAGGCAAAGGTGGTCTGCCCCTCGTAATGAAGGGAAACTGGAAAACATGCTTCTCTTTTGCATCCTGATGCATTGCGCAGAATGGAAACCATACGCTGTGCCAAGAGAGGTGAAGCTGAAAACAATTAAGAGATTTGGTTGGAACAAATCCTGACATCCATCATCGGCAGGCAATTCTCTGTGAAACCAATGGGTATAGCAGCCATGCAACTGACAAGAGAACTTTGTCTAGAGCTACTGCTCTCATAAATTCTGTTAAAATGTTTTACACTCATGCTAGGCATGAGGTGTTCCCCCTCACTGGCAGTCAAGAAGACCATATCCACCCCAGAGCACCCCTACCCCCACCCCAGTGTTCCCTCCGTGCATAACTGGACATTTGGAAGCAGTTTATGGAAAGGAGAGAGATTACTTTCAGGTTTTATGTATCGCTGCTGATAAGGACTCTTTTCAGCTATTCTCTCTCATCCTACAACTGAGGACTCCAAGCATGTTGAAGATTCCAGGGGGAAAACATATGGCTAGTTCTTCCCTCTCTCTTCCCCTTGTTCTCAGTTCATTAAATAATGATTGGATTATGCCATAATGTGATTCATTGGATGGATTGATGGATGGATGGATATATCAGTTTGATATCAGTGGCATTCATTGGGGTGGAGCATATCACAATTAGCAAAATGGTGGATGGAGCCTTGCAGTGCAAGCCCCACTCCATGAACATGTGTGGGATGTTAATGCATTTACAAAAGGGGCAGGGCTAGCATCACAATGCTCTGTATGCCACTTGCCAATTTTGACACCCCACTACTATTCAGCATGTTGTGTGAACCCAGATATTATGGCTTATTGAACAAGCATTTTGAAGTCAGCCAGTGTGGCTTATTCAATAAACTGTTAACAATGGACTAACACAATGCCTAAGCCAAACCAAAATTCACAGATGTATATCCACCATTTGATCACTAAAGAAAGAAGGGATGATTTAATTGTGTGAAACAGGCATATCAGATTGAACATTCCAGCATTACCCATATTAACACCTGATTTATTATTTAATAATGAAGACAGTTAACAGATTTAGCCTAAGTCATCAAATGATCTCCCACTGAGGGGCAAGATATTGAACAGTGCCCAGCACCATCTGTAACTAGTTCACAAGGGTTGAAGGTTAATATGATCTCATTTTTAGAATTTCTGGTAGTACACAAATATTAGAAAAGATTCCAATCGATCCTGTTCATTAATACTGCTTATGAAAAAGTTTGACTTAGATAATGCTGTAATTTCATACAAGTGTTTATTAATTTATAACTATAATTCCTGCAGGTGTCTGACCTTGTCAGCTCCTGGCATCACAAAACCTGAAAGGGATAAATAGTGTCTGGCACCTCCTTCATTTTTGTTTGCCATGAAAACATCTGCAGAAAATACAAAACACTCTAGGTGTGAAAACAAAATCAGACATATAGAACTGAGTTGTTTAAGTAGTTTATTAAGCTGTATTATGTAGCTTAAGTTTAACCACTTGGCTTTCATGTTTCAATACATTATGGCAGGTAATGGCATGTGCCTGTGTGCAAGCCATTTTTAAGCAAGCCATGTACATTCAATAAATATACAGCAAAAATTCTTTTCCACTTTTTTTTTTTTTTTAATCCTGGAGTAATCATCTTCATCCTCTCATTCCTGATGCTAGCATGTCCAGTGCTACTGAATAAGTATTGTCATTCACCCATCAACTGACCCTCTCTTGGGGATGGAACCCAACAAGTTTAGTCCATCCTCAAATTTTCAAAAAAGACAAAACAAATTTAGATCTTGTGCAGATAAATAACATGGAAGAGCTAAGGATCTCCCAATGCGAAGGATTAGGCACCAGCAAGAGTGAGGTAGCTGTGTGTAATTAAAAAAGATCTCAGATACTGACGTGCCATCAGGTAATGACAGTGAATTGGAGAGAAGTGGTGGGGAGAACAATGACATGCCCAAGGCTCTGTCTACACATCCTACTTACAAGCCTTTGATATTGGAAGGGATGGGTGAAATCAGTCTCTTTCCTTTTCTCCCAAGATGGCATATTAAAATCTCGTTTCTGAGCTGGTGAACATTCCTGTTCTCCTTCCCTTTTTTGCTTTTAGATCTGATTATTATATGGACAAAAGTTTCACCAAAAATTGCAACCAGACTATTTCCTTTATGTAGCAGCACCTGCTAGAATTCTTCTCCCTAATGTCAGTGGGAATCCAAGAGGGAAAACTGCACTGAGGATATTGTTGTGAAATCATGGAACTCTAATATTAAAAATAAGGATATGGTCCATCTAGGGCTAAACATTAGTATATCCCTTTGGTTTTAGTGGAAGAGTTAACAATTAATTTAGTGCTTTAACTATGGCTGAACTGTGTCTTAAATTCATGACGGTTCAATATATTTATCCTGCTTCTCTTGTAAGATCAAGGGATTACATTCCAGCTATATATAATATCCATTAAATTATTTCCTTTTTTAATGGGAAACACTAATTTTTCAAAGCAGAAATCCATATTGGATTAAATGACAGCCAAAGCATTTTATTCATCCATTTAACATTTGCATTTAATTACAGAAGCAAACAAGATCATTCTGGATCTTCACTAGACAGGAAAAATATGATGCTTTCTCCTTCCTCTTTCCTTCTCATCACAGTTTGGCTGATTTTCTAATGTCACAAAGATGCTGCTGGATCAAAACTTCTGCTAAGCCTTTTCATGCTACTGCAATAGTGTCTCGTCATTTTTTCTTTCTTCTATCACAATTTCCTCCAGCCAGGCTATCATTTCTACAGCTTTGCATTTAAAGTGATTTCTCCTCTACTGGGGAGAATAGTTAGCTTGGCTTTTGAAGAGAAATAAAAATAAAATAAAATAAAATAGCTATTTATGTAAGGTATAGAAAATAATACAAAAGCTAAGTCACTTCTGCTTAGGACTGGGTTGAGGTTATACCGTTTTCTGTCCAAAATTCTACTGAACTAATTTGGAATATGATCATTCATAAACTACAGTTATATACATCAAGTTCTAATAGAAAAAATAAATTGAAGTTAAATTTTTAATTAGGTGTTTAAGTCACTTTCAATACAGTTAGAGCTAAAATATAAGCTTATCTTTTTCCCTACTGTGCCTAGACAAGCTGGCTAGGTTGGTCCGACAGAGAACCCAGAAGACAGACCTGTCAGGGCTGTGGTTTAGCCAGGGCATGTAAAACTTGATCCCTTTCCACTTTCCCTAGATTAGCTGGCTTGTCCAGCAGAGCAGGAATAAAATGTGAGCCAACTACTTGCCTTAGCAGCAATGATTGTGAGAAAATTTAACTGCTTCTCATGTGTCAGCTAATCCAGCTAGTTAACACACCTGGGTGGCTTCAGGTCACAGGGCAGTAACTAGAAGTAGAGTCTACTTGGTGACAGCACCCCAATTTTGGACATCCTTCCTGACCAATGTCTGGCAAACTCCATGCAATATATTTAAAAAAAAAATGAAGATATGTCTGCACACCCAGTCACTTATGGTATAATAACTCCTCCGGGACTTGGCCACTTTTAAAATTGCCTGTATTACGTCTTTCTGTTTTTCAAAATGAACTTTGCTCTAATTTTTGCATGCAGTCCTTTTAAGCATCGCTGGTTTTATTGTGATGGCTTTATATAATACTTTTCTTTGAATTAATTAATTAGACTGTTTTGCATACTGCCAGAATCTCTAAGGACCCCTTGTGGTTAACATCAAAAAGACAAACAATATAATAATATCTAATTTGTTTAAACCACCCTGGGCTCTTCTGGGAGGAAGTGTGATATAGAAATACTCATCATCATCAACATCATCATCATCATCATCATCGACTCAAGGCCAAACACAAGCAGAGACATATCCCTTCCTTTAGCATATAGACCTAAGTAGCTACGCAGTGCCAATCAATACCAATCAATACACTGCCCCTTCTTAAGCAAAGGATACAGTTTTATTGTGTTTTTGAATTCACAGCTCAAATGCCTGTTCAACTCAAATGCCTGTTCCAAATGAGAGGCCACATTATTCCTTTGCCAAGCTATTATAAATGTAATTTGTTTGAGCAATGCATTTCATTTTTTTCCTACAATTACTACCAGTGAAACAAAATAGCAATAATTTGGACATATTAAGATGGACGGATGGATGGATGGGCAGACAGACAGACGGGAAGGCCAGTGTTGACATTAGATTGACCTAAAATAGCTTTCGCCATTATAGTATCTTCCACCTGAGCTGGATCTCAATCCCAGATTTCCTGGCTATTTTAGCTAGACTTCTGTGAACTGTACTTAATTCATCCAGGAAAAGGAACTGTATCCACTCATTTGTTAAGATGTGAGAAGTTGCTATTTTGACTGGTGCCTGGAATGAACAATCCCCACCATCATTGTCTTGATATTCGGCCGGGTTACCTGAGGGCCCATCTCTCCCCGATTACATCTGCCCGTCCCATCAGATCTGGCAGAGAAGGCATGCTGCGGATCCCGTCTGCTAGAGAATTCCATTCGGTGGGCCCCGGGAGGTGGGCCTTCTCTGCTGTGGTGCCTGCCTTGTGGAATCTTCTCCCTCCAGAAGTGAGATTATCTCCATCCCTCTTAACATTCCACAAGTCCCTCAAGACTTGGCTATGTGACTAGCCCTGGGGATCCCAGGAAACCAGGGGAGATTTTGTGATGGCTCCCTTACTGTGGTTAATATCATCATCTCCTATTTTATGTGCTTTTTATAATTTTAGTGATTGTTTTTATATGAATTTATGGGTTTTTAATTGAGTGTTGTACACCTCCCAGAGTCACTCTTTTATGAGATAGGTGGCTATATAAATATGATCAATAAATAAAATAAATACTGATTTCAATGGAATATGTGCTTATCTAATTGTGATCTTCATTGATTTTATCAATTGATCACTGTCTTAGCATGCAGCTGTTTGTTTAGGAAAACTGATATGGTAGCAATCATCTCCAAATCTATTCTGTGCTGGAACAAACTGGGTTTCAGCTTAGCCATGTGAAACTTTTCTTACTTTGTCCCTTGCCTCGTCTGACAACATCAGAGAAAAAGAGTAACATCAACATAAACTGCAGAGTTGATATAGCCTGTATTGTAATAGCTACTTTTGGCATACTGGCACTTCTCTAATGTATTTTTCTTGTAAATCTCACACAAATTGATTTCATTAAAGCATGAGAGAAGCGTTGTAGCCAGTTTCAGTAATGTGGAAATCTAGAGCAGGCTCTTTTCCAAACATGAAGAGAAATTAGTTTACATTTTGAACACGAGCCCTTGCAAGATCATTATTTATTTCTGGCATTGCTTCTGAAGTTGCTCATTCATCACTAACCAGGTATGGGCAGAATAATTTGACCCCCTCCCCCAACGTTTACAATGATATATATGCATACATAAATAATTTCCCATGCCAAAAATATGTCAGAGAAATTATGACTTCCAGGGCTAGTGCTGAAATGGTGCCAAATCCAACGTTTTGTAAATTAGGCCCTATGTGTGAAATCCATCCAGCTGTTAGAAGTATCCCATGTCTAATTATATTCACAGTCTCCCCACCCCCGAAATTTTCAGTTAGAGCACAGTACACAATGAGTATAGTTACAATCAAGGTCTCATGGATCCTCTTGAGATCTTCCCAAAACACAGAGACAGTGGAGAAACAAAATAGGTAATCTGCATATTTCTAAGGAGTTCAATACATATTTTTATGCAGCTTTCATCGCTTTTGTAGTATTTCTACATATGAGAGATTTACAGGCTTGTGTCATCCCTATCTTTCCAGATGTTGTGAATAGCTTATTTATAAGAAAATGCTCTTTATGTTGTTTTAAGGATCTGTCGCTGTGAAAGGCGGAAGCAACAGCTGCACTATTTCAGCAGGCTCCTATGGAGCAGGAAAGTTTACTCATGCTGTCTGGTCATATTTTGCATTCTGATCCATTTCAGAAGCATTTCATTGTCTCCTAGGATTCTGTATTAATTATTAGGATTTAATTTCAACTTCAAGTAGGCTTCAGTATTTATTTCACAATTCTGTATCCACAACCTGGGAAGAGTGCGTTTTAACTTGGTGAAATTTATATCTGAGTTGATATGTGTAGGATTGCATCATAACTCTGCAATGCCATTCTCATGTACCTGGATGTAAGCTTCATTGAGACCCTCTGTGCAATTTTGTTCATCTGAATCAGAAATATTACTCTATAATTCTTGCAGGCAAGACAGGATGCTCCAAGTTAATGTGAAATAGTATGGCAGTCAAAGGAATAAGATGTCCAAGAAATTCAATGATTTTTCAGTCCTTTCCACACTAGTGACTTGTAGCATCTTCATAGCATCACCTGGCCATGGCTGAAGCCTGTCTTCATTACTATTATATGCCACGATGATTGGATGACCCTAGTAGAAGCTATAAATCACTAGTGTGGAAATGACCTTTAAAAATATGGATATCTGTTCGGCCCAAGCAGGATCTTCCACATTCACTTTTAATTTTGTTTTAGAAATAGCTAAATCCCCCCACCTCCCAAAAGAACAAGAAAAAGACACAACAATGCTGGTCAGAGTGCCCCCTTTTACTGGGAGAGCAGTGTTACAGTTAATTCCATAACAAAGCAGATGCCATTTTCACATATGATTCTGACAGGAAACTTCAACTTCAATTCTGCTCTTCCAAGAAAAGGTGTTAGTGTGCCTAGGACAGAACAGTCTGCTGTGTAAAGGCAGTCTTAGCATAGAGCAAACCAGGCTGTTAATTCTATTGGCTATTTTGACCTCATCTCCCTCTCTCAAGCAGGTAAAATAGTTTGGCCATGCCAGGTTTTTAGCCCCAGAAAGCTGTAGGCATACCTGCAGAATGGAAGTTTTGTTCTTTCATAGCATTCTAGCTTTACAATGAAAAAGTGGATGTACCTCTAACTGGAGTTGTAAGCAAGGAAGCCAAGCATATTTTCAAATCATAAGAAAATTATGCTAAGCTCTGTGAGCACCTTATCTCTACAAGGCTGCAATTTATTAGAGATCCTGTTTACACTGGGGTGCTTAAAAAAGCCTGGACAGTTAGTAGAATCTGTATGAATAGTGTGCATCAGACGGAAGAAAATTGTTATTTAAGAGGCAACAGTTAAGCAGTAGCACCACATGGAAACTACGGATATTTATGGTATCATCTTACCTGGGAATAAGCATCACTAAACTCTGGACTGTGAATAGACTGTGCCATCAGCAAGGCAGTAAATTCAAAGAGCCAATATATTCCTGGAGATGCACGCTTAGACGTAAATCACATCAAGTTTGGTTAGATGCACTATCAAATAAGTGAATACAGCATCGCGACTTTCAATGAAGTCATAAGCAAGCTTACTCAGTAATAGTTCTCAAAAAGTATCATGAAAGTTACCCACCACTGAATGGGTTTAAGAAAGTAGAGTTCGGTCTCCATGTAATAGTACAAATGATCTTGAAATGGTTAAAACTGAGGGCAGAGATCAGAACTTTATAGTAAACCTGCAAAAAAAAAAAAAAAAAAAAGCAAAATCCCAATAGAAAAACCCATTCATGCACAAAGAACTTACATAAATTGGCTTTTACACCCTCCCTCCCCCACCCCAGGAAAAATGTGGAAGCAGAAGCTGCATATAGTAAATCAGAGACATTTTCTGGGGTCTTGTTCGCAACAGTAACGAGGCAGCATGAAACACTGGACTAAATGTTCAGGGTGAGGGCTTAATACACCAGTTAAGTGATCTCACAGAGGTTCTTCTTGACCAACTGCATATTAAGAACCAGATGTTGTTTTATCCCCTACTCCACTGGGATAAAAGATTCCATTTCAATCTGTATATAATCAGGTTCAAAGATAAAGATCGGTGGCATGTCTGTGTGGTGCCAAGACTGGGCACGGAAGAAAAATAGGCAAGCCGTGGACTCCTAAGAAGTAAAAATGGATATTATTTTGAAGAATAGCATTGCACCATGCAAGGGACCTTAGGATATTGCATTATTCCACAAAGGAGAAGTTAAGTTAAATAAAATTTATAGAAATAGCTACAATAACAGATTCAAGTCTGTGGCCGTCGGCTCTTTGAGGTAGGCCAGGTCAGGAAACAGAGAGTGCAAGGATTACAGGCATTACAGGCATGTTACTTTATTGTTGTACAGTATAAGAACAGGAACTTGAAAGCCTGACAGGGTTTCCCTCTCGTGCCAAACAGAATCAAGGCAGGATTCTTTTGAGTTTCTTTCTCACACCATCTTCTTTCCCAGTACTAAGTTGCCTCTTATTTTGCTTTCACTGTCCCTGCCTACCTTCTTCAAGGTTGTCTACCCATTTCTCTATAGTGGCAGAAAAGCCGTGCAATTGCACTCAGCTGCTAGCAATGCCTTAACAGATCTTGATTGTTCATTTTCTTGGGTAATACAGCAGCTTTTCATACCTGGGATCCTGAAGGTCACATTTCTCTATTATTAGAATCAGGGGTGTCTGCAGGATCTTGTTGCTTTCATCAAAATGACAAAAGCAGTGTTGCAGAATTACGTTACTCCTTTTGTATGTGTGTGCGACATTGCAATGCATGTACAAAAGGGGTGGGGCTCAAACTGTGACAAAGCTTTTGTTACCCTGCCCACCTGCTCCTCTCCAGGCACCACTGATAGGATGGATAACCACTTCTGCCCATTTCTATTAAGTAAACAGCAAGCCGAGCTGTTTTCCCCCAAATTCCCCATTATGAGTTCATAATGAGACTCTAAGGATTGAGAATAAAATGGGGTCTGACGTCCCAGTGCTGGTTTACTCACCACAGAGCTTCCAATATTTACCTGCCTATTTAACCTTATTGTTCTCTTTCAGCAGCAGAGGGTACAAAGGCAGAGAAGTGTCTCTGATCAGGGGGAAGTGGAGTGTGATTTAACTGTTGAAGACTTTTCAAGCAAAGCAGCTTCTTGGTCAAGGAATGGTGACAATGAGAGTACAACTAGAAGTCATGGAAACTAAATGCTTGTATTCCATTATGTGTATCCTGGTAGGACAGTTGAACAAGATGACAAAATCTAGAAACAAGCAATTGAACTGAGGTCACTCATTGTACTAATTTATATTTCATTTCTTTTTTTTTCCTTTTGTGGAAATATTGTATATTTCCAGCACATAGGCAATGCCTTTCATATTATTGGAATAGTCTCCCTCTTGAAATTGGGCTAGTGTCCTCACTGTTGGTTAGTATTCCAGAAGCTACTGAAGACTGAGCTGTTCCCAACAGCATTTCTGGAGTGAAGTGGTCTCTGATGCATATAAAAATGGGTGAACCTTCAATCACCCCATTGTGTCAGCTCCACTAGGTAGACTAGACCATGACATTAACTCCACAGGATGGCTAAACTATTTTTATTGAGATTGGCTATTATAACAGAATCTTGCCTCCTCCTCTTCTTGGTAGTCCAGTGAATTAGGGAGGTGTATGTCTGAGCTGCTTCTGAATGTTATCTGGACATTCTGGACTTAAAAAATGCTTCAGCCCCCTTTGCCTTTGCAACAGAGCCTGTGTGTCTCCATCAAGGTCATCTACACATCATTGCTGCCATTTTGACTTTTTTAATCACACCCTATGAACCTCCCTGATGCCAAATTTTTCCTAAGATACATTTTAGACCCCACCAGAAATTATCTGTCCTATGGTCAGAAATTCTAATCAGGAATGAATATAAATCTAAAGCCATCTTGGTTTGATTATTCATGATAAAAGTTTTAGAGAATTAGTGAAGGAAACAAGGGTGACAGGCTTTCAAGATTCTGTTATTATACCCCAAAATAATAAAGTAGCATTCCTCTAACGCTTGTGGTATCTGTTTCCTGACCTGGCCTACCAAGGGCTGACAGAAAGAAAGTTTATTTGATTTAGAGAAAGTGTACAATAAAGCAAATAGGCTTGAATTATGGAATATTTTATTGAACATTAATATATTTTATGAACATTAAGTAGGGTGACCGCTGAATATAATAAGAATGGCAAGCCTAGCCCCTTTGTACATGGGTTGACATGCAAAGATTTACATACAGAAAACAATACCGTTTGTTGCCATCTAGTGTTTCTCTGGAACTTTGCAGATCAGATAGCCTTATATTAATCCAAAACCAATCAAGCTACATGATGGCTTAGAAGAGAGGTAAACAGAGGTGTTAGTGGCATTTTGGGGGAGTCCAAGGGTCACAATAGGTGGGGCAATAATAAAAGTGACCAGGGATATTTTATTCTTTGGTTTTGAGAGAAGAAAATCTTTTTTGTTTACATGATGTTAATATTATTATAGGAATTAAATTAAATTAAATTGTTAAATTCAACTGTTTATTTATTTAACAGAATGCCTAGACTATCCCAGCTGCAAGATTCTGGGTAGTAACAAAATTCTACAACATATTTACCATCCCATCAAAAAAAAAAAAAACACCCTCAATACTATAAATACAAATTAAAAAGAAAAAGAGACCAACATATTTAGCTTCAACTTCAAAAAACCCATTTAAAAAGAATGACTTACCAGCATGAGTAAGTTCTTTCTTGACAAGGTGATTCCTGATGTGACCCAGAGCTGCAATATATAGGGTTTTATAGGTGATAGAAATCAACTTTGAATTGGGCCTGGAAGCCTATTGGTAACCAATGCAGTGTCTGTAAGGTAGGGGTTATTCTACATAGCGGGTAGCAGCTAGCCTGGCTGCAGTGTTCTGAGTCACTGGTAGCTCCTGAGTTATCTTCAAGAACAGCCCCATGTATAATATGTAAAAAATCCATGTAAACAGCCCCATGTATAATATGTTGCAGTAGTCCAATCATACAAGGATAAGAATGGGAATCACTGTTGTCAAAGCCTCCTAGTTTGGGTAGGGCTAAAAATGGAGCACCAGATGAAGCTGGGCAACCTCTTGCTTGGCCACAGACTCTACGGCTGTTCAAGCAAAAGTGTCAATCTAGGACAGCCTTCAAGAGATAGATCATCTCTTTCAGGGGGAACGTGAAAGCTAAATGTGGAACCAAGGCTTCCTGGAATCCAATGTATTTATAAACATCAAGCAAGCCCATTTTGTTAGGATTTAGTCCGCTTGCTTTTCCCCCTCCAGTCCTTAACAGCTTCCAAACAATGACCTCTTCCAGTCATTTCATACTAAGTAACATGGAGGAGATGACTGAACCTTAAGGCAAGCCACATCTGTGTGCCATAGACTTGATCGTTCTTCCCCCACAACTACTGACTGGAATTGCACATGCATGTAGGAGTGGAACCACCATAAAACAGCACCTCCAACCCTCACAACTAGTCCAGTAGGATACTATGGTTAATAGTGCTGAACCTCATAGAGAGGGCTAATAGAATCAGGAGGCATGGAGTCTTCCAATCCAAATCCCAATGAAGATCCACCAGAGTGTGGGGTTGAATCCTGATTGAAAGGGAACTAGATAATCTGGTTCCTCTGAGAATCTCTGTAACTGATCTGCCTCCAACTTCTCTATCAACAATCTTCCCCCAAAATAGAAGACTGGAAGGGGGAGGAAGTTGTCCACTATAGCTAGATTAAGAGATGGCTTCTTTAAGAGAGGACAAAACACCACTTCTTTCAAGGAAGATGGCACTTCTTCCTCCCTGAAAGGAGTATTAATCACTTCCTGAGTCCAGCCAACCTTCTTTCAGTAGCCTGAAGAGACCAGGTGGGGCATGAGTCCAACCCAAAGGTGGAATAGCTCATATTACAAAGCACCCTTTCTATTTCCTCACCTTCCTTCCTTCACAAACTCAAATGAGCCCACCTAATACTGCAAGACGTTGCTTTACTCACCTCACCCAGTTGTGCTGAGTTGGCATCTAACTTTGAGTAAATGTGAGTGACTTTACTTGAAAAGCAACCTATCAAAGTATCATAGCAGCATGCAGATATCTTATCCCACCCAACCTTTCCTGTTACCTTGAATAGGGCTGATGAGTGGGAATTTGCATATGCAATACAAGGGGGAAAGTATACATGCTTTGCCATTCATACTGCCACTGTGTGGATCTGAACCTGAACTCCAACTAGTGCTTGGTCACATTCACTTTTGGCTTTAGGCCACCATATCTTTTCACTTGCTTCATCTCCCACAGCTCCTCCTCTGGATCCCCATCGATTTTCAGGAACAGTAGTTAGACTGGTCCTGGGAGCCAAAAGAACAGCTAGCAGACTGTTGTGCAGTGGATAGGCCATATAGTAGCATGAACTAGTTTATTTTTGAAATGTAAATGTCCTTTCAAATACAATACTTACGTTCCTAATCTATTCTACCACACGCTCGTACCCTCCCTAGATCAGTGCTTTGATTGGCAAATTCTACTAGTTTCTTTAAAAAAACAAAACAAAACACCTTCAAATGGTTAAATTTACCTTTTTGAGGTAATGCTTTCATCTGGACCAAAATCACACCCTCCATTTTGCTTTCCTTGGACCTGGTTCCTTAAAACATACATCTGGAAAGCAAAACCACAAAATTCCAACCATCATAAAAGAATGCACAGCACAGGAGCCGGGTGATTTTTAAAAAAACATTTTCTTCCTTTTTCTAAGAGGAATGTTAAGCGTTTGCATTCATGATATCCAAAATGTTCAACATGAAATTATTTCAAAGACTATGTAAATGAGGTAAGTATAATTGTTGACAAGCAGCTAATTCGGATGTATGTTTGCATAATGTAGTACTTGAGTTTTTCAATACATTGTAAAGTGGTAAGGAAGGCAAGCTATTACTTTAAGGCATAGACACCTCCCTCTTTGCTGCTCCTGTGTCGTTAATCAATGTCAGATCCCAAGACTGCTTCACTTGGTTTATACATACTGCATTTCATTTTTCCTTCTCTAAAAGATTGCTTGCCACAAAATATAAACACCAATTGCAATGCTGATAAGTAAAACAATATATAATGCATTACCACAGTGACAATGAAATAAGTGTGTGATTTGCTGAGTAAATGAAAATCACACCTGTTTCTTTCTCTTTCTGTTAAAAAGTGCAGCAGTCAAGGGCAAATGTACAGTTTTAATTCTATTAATCAAAGTATAACAGGTTCTATCCTGAAAGTGTCACATTCAAACCCAAGCTATGCACATGGACTTATCCCAAACTAATGAGGGTCCATACTTCTGTGAAAGAGGCTTCTAGATTTGCTAGTTTTGAGCTGGACCAAGGTGGTTTAGTTTCATGCAACTCTGTCTTCCCTTTGAGATAGCCCTACAAGTCAGCTGCCAGCAGAAATCATGCAATGTAAACAAATGAGGTCACATTCACGCACCTAAGAATGGATGTTGATGCTTTAACGGGGTATGCCACACATTGAAAGACATGCAAAGCACAAAAAGAAGGTTCGCGTTCATGGTGCCTTAGTGGGATGTACATTGGGATGTACTGTATGCACTAAAATGATGGAACAGTGGCTGGGTTCCCTTGGCAACAAAGGTACTTTAGATAGGTTCTGGGTGTGTGGGGGCCTTTTCTGATCTCACCAAGAGAGCTGAAGGTAGTTCTTCTGGAAGCCAGAGATAGTCTTATCAGGTCTCTTCAGGAATGGGAGCCAATGAATTTAACTGCTCCATTTCCCAACTGAGCAAAGCTGTGCATCCAGCTGTGTAGCTGGATTAAAGCAGTATATAATAGGCATTTCTCATGGTGGATTGGAGGATGTGTGCATCCATTCATGAAGTTGGTACCACTTAAAAACATTTAAAATTCCAGAAGGGTTATTTATAATCTTGACCTCACCTAATTCTTTTATAACACCCAGGATTAGGAGTTATATTTTTTTAGCATGTTCTGGGATTAGTTCTCTGCACATTTGAAATATAGAGCATTAAACATAGCTTAAGTTTACAAATCAAGCCACAATCAGTATTTCTTTCCATTTCAGGTCACATTAGAAAGTCCCATTTTAAATTCAAAGTTAGAACTGAACTGAGTCCCTAGTTGAAGAACGAGTTCTGTTCCCAGGATCTGTCCTTAAATCTAATTTGTATGTAAGCTGGAACAGTATTCTTGTATAATG